TGGTTTGTATCGGTGACGTAATATGTAAATGATATGCGTGTGGCCTGTGAGACTTGCACTTGGACCATAGTGCAGCCAGAACCCAGTGTGTGGACAGAACACTGAACGACAGACCGACCAATTAACGGACAGTCCGACCAACAGAACGACAGACAGATAGATGTGAAAAAAAAGAAACTAGTACACTGTTCAATTGCATAGTCCAGCAGTCACTATTTAGAAAAAATAAATAAAATTGTAATTTAATTTAAAACCAAGTGAGAGCAGGCAACAACTAGCAAACAGAAACACCAGGCTATGTACCTGAAACTTATGTTGTGCTCTTCATTGCCTAATATATTAAATAAGTGTGGGTTAATGTACCAAACTGCAGGTTTCTAGATAAGGAGAACATGTTTATCTGATTAATCGATACGATGATCAAAATCCCGCGCTCCCATCAGCTCCTATATATATTTAATCTCACACCGCTCACCACTCCACTTAAGAGAGCTACGGCGGTGCTACATGTGCTTTTAGATGACAACAAGGAGCGGCCAGAAACTAGTACACTGTTCAATTGCATAGTCCAGCAGTCACTATTTAGAAAAATTAAATAAAATTGTAATTTAATTTAAAACCAAGTGAGAGCAGGCAACAACTAGCAAACAGAAACACCAGGCTATGTACCTGAAACTTATGTTGTGCTCTTCATTGCCTAATATATTAAATAAGTGTGGGTTAATGTACCAAACTGCAGGTTTCTAGATAAGGAGAACATGTTTATCTGATTACTCGATACGATGATCAAAATCCCGCGCTCCCATCAGCTCCTATATATATTTAATCTCACACCGCTCACCACTCCACTTAAGAGAGCTACGGCGGTGCTACATGTGCTTTTAGATGACAACAAGGAGCGGCCACACTCTCTCTGAATCAGCAAAAATATCGATTAGAAAAGCAGGGGGTTTCTTTAACAAGTCCACTCCCGCCTGCAGAGGTGTGTGTGTGTGCGCGTTGGTGGGAAGAGTGCTGAAACGGCTCTTTCAACGTAAGCCCCTGTTAAACTCTCTCATGGAGGATATGATCTCAGTCCTGTCAGGAAGGTGAGGAGGAATCGAGCCTGAATTATGATTAGATATGGAGCTTGATGAGAAATTGAGAGTGCGTGCGCATCTGTGCGCAGGTGTATATCATTGTGAAATGTGTTTGTCTGTGTGTGTTCGCAGGATTTAAAGCGCAAGCCTGCTCCTTTACCATCTCCGGCAGCGAACACCGGTGAGTACATTCATCATAGTGATGCATTTCAGTTAAGTGGTCTATTCACAGTGACTTTCAGAATAATGCTATTAATTAGTGGTGTATCGTGCTAAACATTAAATTACATGGACTTGCTTGGCTGTGACCAAAACGAAAGAACGGTGCACTATATTCCTCCCAAAACACCTCTCTCAACACAAACCGCTGCTTACCTCTGCAATGTTCAGCTTTATTCCCAAGGAAGTTGTTATAATGGTCAATGTAAACTGCACTGCTGATTAGACATTCGCATTAGTGGCAATGCTGATTAAAAATGTTGCTGTTTAATCAAAAGATCTCAAGGAAAACTTCAGAATTATTCAAAGGTTGCTTGAATCATTGGTTTGTGACAGACTCATATGTAAAAGTCCAAACTTGTAAGAGATAGAAAAAAAAAGACCACAATTCTGGTTATGCTTCTTTTTCAGCAGTACATTTTATACCCTTTCATGTCTGTATTTTATCTTAACATTATTTCTCCTTTGTTCTCTCATATATTGTTTCAGTTAATCAGGTTAAAACACACCATTCATATTCCTGGAAGTCTTCAGTCGGATGTAGATCTTGATACAGAAATGCATAAAAACAAAGTATTATAGAGAAGCAATCAGACTCATGCTGAGATGAAATACTTGCACAGTTGTTTGAGTCCATTTCACATGTTAAAAGTTAATTTGTGATCATTTCCTTTGCTGGTGCTAAAAAAGCAACATCATGCATATCGCTTTTATGATTTTAAGATAAAACGAATCTCCATGAATTAATTCAAACTATGCACTTCAGTGAATCAGTTCAAAAATCACTCTGACTCAATGATTCACTGACATCACTCAAAAATATTCAAAGTCAGTCATACAAGTCACTAACTGCTTTTTTAAAATATTGTCGTATATAACTATAAACTGTTATATTCAGTCATATTAATAAAATTATCAAAAAAAATATTCATCCTTGCATTCATTCAATAAAGACAGTGGAAAACATGCATATTTTTGCATGAAACATTTTAAATATACTTGATAACATTAGATGCTTGGTTGAAATTATGTTACAGTGGGGAAAATAATCTAATTCAAAGTGAATACAGCATGAAAAACATAGGGATTTTTTTTCAATATTAATATGATATATAATGTCCATTAACAAAAATGTACATATAAACCTTTCTAGCCCACATATGAAACATATTAAATAAACCGCAAGTGGTTCATTCAGTTTTTTTACTCCTCTTTTTTTTTTATTTGGTGCCATCTATTCAGCCAGCTGTGATTAAGATTGTTTCTCTCTGTCATACAGACTTTCATTACGGAGCGAGATTGCTCTTGCTTTAGTTCAAGATGGGTTCTCGCCAGAAGCTAGCAGAGAAGAAAACGCAGGGCTTGTGAAACGGGTGGCTCCCTTAACGGGAGAGTGGCAGCTGCATTGGGGCTTGATTGAGAGCGTTAATTGATAGCACTGCTTATAATGCCCCTAATGTTTCACCATCACGCCAGGGGGCTTTTTTTCCGAGAGGATAAAGAGGAAGAATCCAGATGCAAAATGAAGACGCAGAGCCATCATTTATAACCATTATCCTTCCCTCTCAACTCCACCCCCTCAAAATGAGCGGAGAGCATGGCTGAAATTAGTGTTTTTAGTGTTTTTCATTTTTGGAGGAGGAGAATCTCAAACTTAGGCCCTAGTATACACTAAAACATAGACACACTGAGGTCACTAGATGCCTTGCTTTGAGGGAATGGTGCATCCATTGTAAAGTGCAACAACTAATGAGCTGTATGAGAATATATAATAAAACAGAACAAAAATACATCAAAGGGCTTGTTGTCCCAGGCAACTGATTTCATGTCTGTTGTATAACTTTCCCATCTATTTCTCAAATAGATTTACATTTGTGCAAATGTAACTGATTTACATTGTTGCATTTGGTAGATGCTTTTATCCAAATGGACTTATGGTGCATTTAAGCGACAAGAATGCCCTAATAAAATAATGTATAAAGTCAGATTAGTATTTTATATCCATTTCTTTATTTATCCATTAGTACTCATTAAACAATAAGCTGAATAATGGTCAGTTATCCCATCGTCATTGCAAAATAAATCCATCCAGAGATTTATTCTGGAATAATGACTGCCTGACTGTGCATTAATCTTTGCATAAAGCATGGATTTTTTTTTATAATGTTTGAAATAAATGAATAAATTAAAAAAATCGGCAAAATTAATAGCTTTAATAACTATTTAATAAATAAAAAGTTATTCATTGAATTGCAGAAGTAATATAAAGAAAAATAAATGGTCAGAAAAATCATACAAGCCAGACTCAAACTAGCTTGGGTTGTATAATATGACCACCAAGATTCAGAGCGCACACGCGCACACACACCTGATTTAAAATCAGCAGGGGATCAAATAAATATTTTCCCCACTGTACAGTGTAAAACTCTTCTTTACGATTCCATACTATACAGGGACAGAGTATCATTAGGATAAAATAAATTGTTGATTGGGTATGCTGATGTTCTTGATGAGCTTGGCTTCACATTTCTGTGAAGGACAGTCATAAAGGAAATCGCTATTCAGCCGTGGGCTATTGATAAGAGCTCTGGGCTTCTCATTATTCTGCTGTCTTTACTGAAAGTCAGACCAGGGGCATGTGCTACATACATCACCCTTTAATTCTGCTCCTGTACACCGTTTCAGCAGACCCGCAGAAGGTCATGTGACAAGAAGTGGCACATAATTATAGTGCCAGACTGAATTAGTCCGAAACGTATGGATGAGATAAGGTTTCTCCATAGTGGTGTAGGTCATCGCTCAGGGCTCTGGATGCTCCTGTCCTCTTCACCTGCTCCGGGAGCTTGTTATATTTTTTTGTTACAACATAAAGCAGTAGTTTGACGTTTTTTCCAACTGTTGCTTGCCAAATTGTACAATCAGTCACTGCAAAACTGTGACTCAATTTCAGACCCTGCCAGAACTTCGTAAATCTCATAATAAAAGCGAATGAATCGGTGAGCATATCACACCAAGCGATCCAAGAAATCCAAGATATTGTTTTTTCTAAATGTGAACTACTTGAACTAAATGCGCAGCCCCACTTTAGACATCATCTATAAACTAGAACTGTTTTATCCCATTTTGCATAACAAACACATTGAACAAACCAGGTCGGCAACCCACCATATTCAGCATAAGATAAAACTAATGAATGCAAAGAAACACTTCATATGAAAACATAAAACCTAATGCATATAGACCAAGTTCATGATCACCATCTGAATCAGACATTATTTTCCATTTATACTGTGCAGAACTAGATGAACCCAGAAGATTTGATTCACCTGCCATCAGTGCACAATCTCAATTAGATCATTAATCTAATTAGCGTAGATTCATTCTCCTTGCTGCTTCTCTGAAGCGAGCATTAATATTGCTGCTTTTTGGGTCATAAAGCACTCACATCAAAAGAAATATGACGAGAAGCCAGCACGGAACCAAGAGGAAATCTGTGCACAGATTCTCAGTCTTTAAATTGGCCGTGCATATTAATGCAATTAGCCTATAAAATGAGATAAAAGTCTACATTTACACCACGCATGCTAGTGTAAAGTCCACTTTACATAATTACAGGGTTTCCCAGAAATGAGAGTTTGAACATGTTCACGTTAGTGAACTGACTTGAGACAAAAAAATAAAAAATGAATTAATGACTCTTACCTTCGTACACGGCTTTGAAGCCCTGGCCACTTACGGCATAGTCTGACAGCAGCCATAGTGTGAGTCTGGGTCCTGTGCTGACTATAGGGGCGGGCAGTTGAAACCCCGTCAACCTAAAATGCAGAAAAGGAACAACGCTCACGTTAACCCAGAGTATTGTTATACAAACTGAACGCTGGAGCTTGGCAGCTTCAAATGTTTGAGTGCCAAACAGATTGCTAAATCTCAATTTCCAGTTTAACAGAAAATAAAAACCTTTAAAAGCTGTTTACTGTGGTGTAAAAGCAAACTAGGACAGCGCAGGTGATAAGTGAGGGAATTCTGTGCAGCATGGGCCACCAGAGACACCATGTCTCATGCACCAATCATAAGAATGGTAGCTAATAAACGCTTTACAGACCTATCAAAATCACAATCAATAGAGCAGCTAAAAATAACTTATTTCACAGGTCGGAGGTTACAGATGGAAGCTATCAACTCTGCTTTCAGCTGTAAGCAGGTCAATGACGTGACGCTATCTATTAATTGATTCAAAAACACACTTCACACATTCAGTGATTTGAATACTCCCCCTTCTTTGATGAGCATGTTTTCTATTTCTGTATTAAAATGTAATTTCATATTTTGGAGGAAAATGTCATGGTGACAAAACTGCCCTGATATCACAGTAAAGAAAAAAAAGCCTCTAACTGAAAAATAAAAAAATATTCTTAAGAAAAACTTTAAATTTAGACCTTAAGTATTAACCCTTGCATGGTGTTTGGGTCTGTGGGACCCGTTTTCAATTTATATCAAAAGAAAAATGATGCTATTAATTATTTTTTCAAACTCAGACTCATTGGCCTTGGCTCATTTTCTGTGAAGAACATTTATCAGAAAAAATGTTCAATGACCACTCACTGTAAAACCCCCTACACATTTATATTACATACAGGATGTTCCGGTCCATTGGACCCAGGGCTAATAAAAGAGTGGAAATTTTAGGTCCTGTGTACCTTCACTCTGTTCTCCTATTGTCTGGGCCTGCTATTAGTATGTGTATTTATGTGTGTGTGTGTGTATGTTTGTGTTTGTGTGTGTGTGTGTGTGTATGTGTGTGTGTGAGTGAGAGAGAGTCTGTAAGAGTGTGAGTGTAAGTGTGTTTTGTGTTTGTGCCCCTGCCATTCCCGCACAAGGTTGTAGCACTTAATTCATAAATGTGATGTAACAAAACTGCAGAGGGTCCACCAGAAACACGAACACTGGCTGAGTAACACAAATATGAACACCACACAAGGGTTAAAAAAGTACATAAATATAAAGTAAAAAGTATATATATTACATAATACTTCAGATATATATCACACATTTTACACATTTAAATATTTTATTTTCTCTACTAATAAATATTGATGATAAGATAGTCATAACTGTGCATCAAGTATGAGTGAGAGAGAGTCTGTAAGAGTGTGAGTGTAAGTGTGTTTTGTGTTTGTGCCCCTGCCATTCCCGCACAAGGTTGTAGCACTTTAATTCATAAATGTGATGTAACAAAACTGCAGAGGGTCCACCAGAAACACGAACACTGGCTGAGTAACACAAATATGAACACCACACAAGGGTTAAAAAAGTACATAAATATAAAGTAAAAAGTATATATATTACATAATACTTCAGATATATATCACACATTTTACACATTTAAATATTTTATTTTCTCTACTAATAAATATTGATGATAAGATAGTCATAACTGTGCATCAAGTTTTTTATATATATATATATATATATATAAGATTATATGAATGACAAGTTTAGTTCAGGTTTTAAAAAAAAACAATGCTAATGCCCCAAAAACAATGCTATTTATTAATATATTAATAAAATATAAAGGGTGTAAGAAAAATAGAATTCTGTTTACTTCATTGTTTACACCACATTAACAAAATAAATAAATAAATCACCTGAAACCAACATGAGTACAAAGAGAACTATACACTATATTTATAAAGAAAACATACAGGGTGCGTTCTCCGTCTTCTCTGTCTCCACGAATATCCATCTGAAACGCGTCACTAAAATGAACTGAAACTCAGTGAATACTCGGCACACAGACATGAGAGATACAGCTATAGAAAGCCTGGAGTGTTTTTAAATGAAGACATATCGAAAACAAATATTCTGTGATAAAGTAATCCATATGAAACCAACACAATGTTCAGTCTTTCCCGTCTAAACTCATAATCTCTAATGTGATCCCGGCCCGCACACGTGCCGCTCGCACCCTTCATATGTAAATATCCATGTGAGATGCGCACACATGTAAACGACAATGCCCATCGTAAATAAAGTGTGAGGATAGTCAAGTTCATCGCTGCTACTGTTCGTTTCTGGAAGAAGATGTGCTGACGGGAAGAAACCAGAATATACCTCAGAAGACAACACAGTGAGCGCGTTTACATGCACGTTCTTAAACCGATTATGCATAACAAACCGAAAACGCACGTGGTCATGTAAACGCGGTAATCCGTTTTCTTTCATTGGAGTAAGGTCATAAACGGTGTAAGCATAAACTGTTCGACACAGGTAGTTTTTTGCCTCTTACCCCGATTTTGCATGGCATGTAAACGCAATAACCCGCTTTCTGTCGGTTTATTGAAGTGTGCATGTGTGATACGTGACAGGAACGCATCGTTAGTGCAGATTTAAGCGCATCTAGACAGAGCAAAAGTTTTGCAGTAAAGAAAGAAGGAAATATATCATAAAAGCTTGTTCATGACTCAGAAAATGATTAAAGTGTTCTCATCTCGTGCAGCAGAAGTAGAAGCGGTTCAATCAAAACGCTGCTATATTAACTGCATGAGAGGATAATATGAGCTGTAAATTTCGCGCTGACATGTTGCAAGCTTTATTTAACGTCACAATTGACAAACATATGGAATAATCGGAGTCAGATACGCAAATGATTATATTTTGACGTCACTAAAGGGAAATAACCTGATTTATTAATAAAGTCATGTAAACGCAGCTTACTTGTGTTGTCAGGTTACTGATGTGCATGGAAACGGGGAAAACTGGTTATTTTAATAAGCTGATATTTGTGAGTTATCAGCTTACTGGTGTGCATGTAAACGTGCTCACTGAGAGGAATAAGCCAGAATTTACATCAGAAAAAGAACCAGATGCGACACGCCGCTTCATCCAGTGGAGGAGATCAATTTGTTGAGTAAGTAAGTTTATTTTTAGTAAAGATCAATGTAGATATTTTGTATATGTCCTACCATAAATATATCAAAACTTAATTTTTGATTAGTAATATGCATTGCTAAGGACTTCATTTGGACAGCTTTAAAGGCAATTTTCTCAATATTTAGATTTTTTTTGCACCCTCCAGATTTTCAAATAGTTGTATCTCGGCCAAATATTGTCCTATCCTAACAAACCATACATCAATGGAAAACGTATTTATTCAGCTTCCAGATGGTGTATTAATCTCAATTTCGAAAAAAGGGTCACATATGTAACTGAACCATACATCATAATACTGAAACACATGCTTGCATTTATAAACATGTTCATAACTTTCATTAAGGCAATGTATTGTTTTGATGCACTAATAACTGCAACAGAGTGGAGTAATCTGTAGCCTACTGTAAGAATGCATCCTGAGGGCTATTTTTTTTATTGGGTAGATTAGAGCAAAACGGAGCCTCCAGCTGCCAGGTGTGCTCAACAACTGCGCGAACGTGCTCGCATTTCCCCATAGCATCACTATGACCCATATAGTCCTCCAGGGTGTCAGCAGAGCAGGATGTTAAACTGTGTGATGCAGCTTTAGCTACAGGCATCGCTCTGAGCGTTCATTGTTCCAGGGCTCGCGTCAGTTTGCCTTTTTAGTCAGATCCCAGAGCTGTCATCTAATCTCCATCAGCTCAAACACACCGACCGGTCACAGGCTGCAACCTAAGCCATTTTACATAATCTTTGTTAGAAATACTAATTGAGCTGAACTGTAGGCAGGAAGTGGATGACTTAGACAATTATTTCTAAATACTACAAAAATCGCTTTATACCCAGAAAGCCATTGTTTAAAGTAAAAACACATTTTCGAATCCCAGCCTAATGTCCTCAGAAAGCGTGCTATCAAAACATTGCTCAGTGAGTTTGGGTGGTTAAAGGGGTCCTATTATGCTCTTTTACAAAGTCTTGATTTTGTTTTGGGGGTGGACTAGAACATGCTCTCATGCTTGGTGGTTCGAAAAACGCATTATTTTTCACATAATTTACATTATTAAAATACCTCTCTCCCCAGGCTGGCACAAACGGCTCAATTAGTTCCGGCTTTGATGAAGGTCCGCCTTCCGAAAAACAAAATGTGTTGTGATTGGTTAGCTTTCCCAGTGCGTTGTGATTGGTGAACAGCTTAGACGGTGTTTCAGTACTGCCACGCCCCTTGCTCCATTTGCAACCACTGTTTCCGGACATCATCCGCTTTCGGAAGCCCAAACAAAGAAGTTTGGGCATGGAGGTGAAAAAACAGCGTTTCAGGCAGTCGTGCACCGGACGAGAAGCGCAGTGTCGCGCCACATCTTTAAAATTCAAATACATTATTTTCTGAGTGTAGGCATACCGCGTTCGGCATCTGTCTGCGGTGCCCATCTATGTCGTGTTGTACTTGTAAGGATTGTTCTAGACCAGCGGTTCTCAATCCCAGTCCTCGCGTACCCCCGCTCTGCATGTTTTGCATGTCTCTCTTTGTTAACACACCTGATCCAGATCATCTCGTTAGACGTGAGCTCCGTGCATGAACGGTGTTCCGATTGACATGGTCCCTACACAGTGTCCATTGCTCCCTACTCCCTGAGCAGGGGAAATCCGTTGAAGTTTACTTCACTTCGGATTCGTCGTCTCGTCTCATGCGCTCACTCAATCGAGTGTTCTAATCACGACCTCGCCCCTCCCCAGCCCCCAACCATTCGAATTTCTGTAGGCGGGAATTATTTGTAATGATATTCTAATGAGCCGCTTTGTGACATCACAAAGCCCGGGAAACAAACGCTGTAGTCCAAACGAGCAGTTCGTTGTAGTGCAGGAGAATGTTTAGAAAACCTGATTTAAACAACTATTATTATTA